AGTCTTCCTCAGTCCCCCAACAGCCTGCGCAGTCCTTGGTAACGCGGGCGACGACCGAGCTGGTATAATATTCGATAGCGTCAATACCGTGAGTGGGAGGTGGCTGAGTTTTGCGGAGACTTGCCACGGTCTCCAACCCTCCTCCATTCTCATCCGGGCTTGGGACCGGCAATGGCGGAGTTATTTTCATGATTGTTCACCTCATAAAACTTATGTATTCCATGAGATATAATAAACAGATAGAAGTAGAGAACATTTGTGTGGGTCTGTTTAATATCTAATAGTTACGTCCCATTAGAACCTATTTCCAGTCTGCTCTGCGTTAAATACAACCAGTAGCGCAATTCCTTCATTTAATCATTTACCGGGCCCTCTATTCTGACGTTGCTATGTGCTGTAACCATGTTCGCTCGGTGATCTTCATTAATTTGAATGATTCAAATAATTGTGCCATTGGTTTTTGCGCTGTGAATGTTCTATGTCATTATGTGTGTCTCAAATGGATAGGGTTAAAATGCTCGTGACAGAGCTGTAATAGGCAGATTCTGGGAAAGAATCATGCGTTTTGCCGGTTTTCTCACGAATTACCGCAGGACAGGCGTTTAGCAATCTTGCCAACTGGAATTTTTTGACGACTTCAGGTGCTCTGTTTTCTGTAGACGTTGCCTACCTCAGTTCATAGGATTGTGTTTATTTTTTATCGTTAACATTCTGTTGCAGTAAATCAAAATACGGCGGTCCCTTTTTGTACCGTTTAGTGTTTGAATCGAAGCCCTGAATGCTTGAAGCCGATTATGTCAGTAACTCACCTAGTTTTAGTTTAACTCGTTTCAGGATCCAATCAAATTCAAATGTTGTGCATGATCTAGGAATCACTGTTTATTCGTTTTGACATTTGAGAACAGTGTAAGCTTTCGCTTACTGTGCAGAGAATTTAATCAATCTTTTTGAGTGGTGACCGTTAAAACGGTTCTTTGATTGGGTTGAAATAATGGGTTTCGCTCAGCGAACAGTTTTGGATACTTAAGTGTCATTATTAAATAGTCGTTTGCTATACCTAAGGGCATTCAAAAAATGCATGAATATTTTGTTACTACTGTCGTTGTCAGTCTAAGGGAAGAAACAAACTAATTGTAGCAATTCTATGGTTGATAGGGTATTATGGATCATGCATCCTCTATCTCCTTTGAATTTCTATGGGAAAAGATGGGCGAAGCCGTCCATGCTACAAAGTAACATTAACGGTCAATCAAGTGTTGATTTTATTATTAGACTTCCCGGTTTCAGGCCCTCGCGATAGATTGACTCATGCATCTTCATCTCATCGTTATTACTATAATCATTTTCATTGGCATCATTATCATGATAGTTGTATGGTCCTAGTTTTCAAGTGGCGACTAACCTATTGCTCATAAATTGTTCAAAAATATTTGCTTCCTCTATGTCACATCTCTTTGCAGCTTATGTGTTATACTTCTTCAGAATTTCCGATATAGCTACCATAGTTTGCTGCCGCAAATAGTATCATTCTATGGAAAATCTCTCAAGTACGGAACGAGATTTCTGCATCATTCCATGCCTCGACTGCTGACGCTGTGGCTTGACAATACGTTGAGGGTACAGTTATGCAGAAGCGATGAATTACTGGTTTCTAAACTTATTGATTGTTCGTTGAAGTTCTACGAGAAATCGCATGGTCGTAAAGAGTCACCGACAATTGAAAGTAGTCAAAAGTGTGAGGAAACCATCGATTCTTTAAACGCCATCATGCAGCAGTTGTTCGAAACGCTACCTCCATATTTATTCTACACCAGTTTTTCTCAGCTGATCTCTCGCATTTGCCACCCGGTCCAGGGAACGGCTGATATATTAAAGGTATGAATTTAGTTTTATCCTGTTATTTTGTTTGTTTTCTTTGCTGTTCATTGAGGCGCTAAAAACATTCCAGCCTATAAAATCGAGGTTAGGCAGAAAGCAAATTCTTAAATTCAGTGATTTCTGAAACGATTGGTCGAGATTTGACTTGTATATTGAACACAGGAAAGTTGTAGCCATTATGATGATGACCTCCGTTGGCGCTTTGTAGTGTGTGCTGTTTGTGGCAGGCCCCGGTCCTTCATGAAACTTCTAATGTTACGCTTATTTACGTTTACAACCAAAAAACTTTATTTTTAAAGGAAATTCCGGCAATGTTAAACAGTATCGGAAATATGAAAGGCAGCCCCTTTCAGGGCATTTTTTAAACCCATGATCATTCCGGTATTTGTCCATACTCTTACCGACTGACTTCTATGGTTAGCAAGTATAGAATATCCCAGCAGCTTAGATATCAATCAAATTTACTGTAATACCTCTCCCTGGATGATTAACTTTCATCGGTGGCAGGTTTGTGTCTTCGAATGCGAGATCGTTTCTGTTTGTAGTCTCTTCAAGAGCAGTTGCGGCGACGCGTGCCTTACCACTGTTGTAATACTTGTCATAAACTATTCGTAAAAACGGAAGGATGTAGTATGCTTATCGTCTCGATCACTGTAGAAAACTAATCATATACCAGCCGATTTGGAGTATGAGTCACGTGACGTGAGTTTCGTCACGTTAAAATATGCTATGTTATCCACAGTTTTTCTCATGGTTAATAGGGATGATGGCCAAAAATTCTTGATTAGATTTTTAGTCAATGGACTGATCTCATAGACCATTTCGTTAAATGCAGGAACGGGTATCAGTCCCGGCTACTACTCTCTAATTATCCGACTGTTTCAATATCCATTACAAGTCGTAACATCTAAAGAAATGTCCTCCATCGTGCTTCGCTCTGATATGAAGTGATCCCTCATTTTCTCCCGCTCTCTCTGACGTGGATAACAAAGTTGGATGTTCAGGTGTAAACTGTATTAAATGGCTGCAGTAAATGGCGTAACAAAATATGAAATTTAATTTAATCGTAATTGCATAAACCGAACTCAACTAAAACAGTAGATTTCCAGTTATCTTCGTCATACCTCATTTTTCGATAGTCTAATTGTGATTAGAAACTAATTGTCAGGTCATTTTGATATGTAATGAGGGTGACTCTCAAGGAAGTATGTTTATGGCTATTCTTCAATTGCGGGAGGGGGGACAAAGGAGATATTCATTCACGGATCAGATATGTTACGGTAATATCAGAGCCTTATCTGTCGATTGATTCGTCATGATTCTGTAGTGCTAAAAGGGGGTGCACGCCGCATCACCCTTTCAAACCAGAAACTAATATAGTAGCGTGCTCTCCTCAACTGTCCGTCTCTCAAATATATCAGATGTATGTATGGTCCAACTCAAACCAAGTTAATAAAAAATTAACTATTTTTTATTCGAATATAGCATTTATACTTGTGCTATTTTTTATAATCGGTTTTAGTCAGTCGTAGCGAAAATTGTTGCCACGTTTCCGCAGCAAGGGTTATGGATGAGCATGTCAGTGTCTCGGTCGGTTGTGCCGCAGAGGAAGCGAGCCTGTCAGGAGATACTAACGATGGCTGAAAAGCAGAACGCTACGATCGCCAAACTT